TGCTGAGGTAGCTGCCAAGCCTGGAGAAGGGCCTCTCCTTGACGTCGGCGCTCGGTGCCACGTCCGCTAAGAGGGCTGGGGGAAGGGGCGGGGGTTTGGAGGGCAGACGAACGTCCCGGGGAGGATATTCGGTTGCCTCCTGATTCCATTGTGGAGGAGAACGTAGGGACGGACTTTTCGCCATCCAGCTGAATTCGGTAAAGTCGATTGAGGGTAGATGTCCGATCCGAAAAGTCGGATGAGTCTTCGGTTTCAGAAAATGCCACTAAAAGTGGAGACAGTGAACTCTTGCACTCTACGTCCCTTGCTCCACTCAACAAAACAAATTAACTTCCTACGCCTCCTCTCCCTCCTCCTCCTATTCCTACTATGACGACTACTACTACGAATACCACCAAGATTACTACTGCTACAACTAAGATGAGTACTACTAATAATAATATTATCACAATGAATACTGTTGTGACTACCACATCTAGTGCTACGAATAATAACAGTACTACTAATAGTACTACTTCGACCACTAGTATTATTACTAATAATATAATCCCAATGCCCACTGGTATAAATGCTGCTAATGAACACTGCCGACAACAACAAGGGAAATTAGAACGACCATTTTGAGCTCATTAGCCAGTCAAACCCAATTCCAGGTGGCAACCTACCCGAAACTCGGACCCAGGACCTGTTTGTCAGAAGTTTAACGTTCTAACCTGTGAGTCACGGGTCCGCTGTCCTATAAAATTTTAATAATTATCATGCTACTGCTTCTTCTACTCCTTATGCTACTACTAATGCTAAAACTAGCAGTAGATACGGTGATCGGACGGCAAAACGTCAACAAATATTGCATAGGATTCATCCACCAACCAGAGTAAAGTGTGCCAGCCCGCAGGTGAGTGTCTTCAATGAGAAGGACTCGGAGGCCATCAGAGAGGTCCGAAAGGTCCAAATCGATACGTTGCAGTTTAAGTATCGAGTGGGCTTCTGTAGGCGGGTTAGGATGGTTTATAGGTCCTTCCTCCTCATCGTCCTGATTCCAGGCGTGGGCGGTGGCAGCATCCACCCATACGCTCGTGGGGGGCCTTCGACCACCCTCCTCCGCCTCCTCTTCTGGTAGGCAGATGAGGGATGATGAAATGGGAGAGGAACCGCTTGCGTGACGATGTTTCGTTGTGGGGCTCATGCCTGCGGAGGGTCCTCCAGTAGAAGTGGCACGGATACTTGGCGAGAAAGTATCAACCGTCGTAAGAGAGGAGGTGGACGGTGAAATTGAGGACGTTGGGCGAGCGACCTGCGATTCATAACATGGGTTATGATGAGAGTGAGCACTACTGCCTACCTGCCTACCTGCAGATACAGACACTATTTACAGAAATCGGGTGCTTCTGTCAATCGGAACCAGATATGCACCCAGGTATCGGGAAAGACCGTGAATGTAGGTGGCAGATAAAGTCAGATCATCATTATGACCTTGCTTGTAAACTGGCAATCAAGAAGGAAATAAAATTGTCATCATCGTCGTATCATCATCAAGCAGGGTGAGACTTACTGGGGGCTTTGTTAGGCAAGCTAATCAAGTATTCCGACTACTTCGTACGCTCGCCACCGAAGAACAACCTGCAGCCCGAAAACCACTTTTGGGGAAATAAAAATTAGTTGATAGGTTGCATAACGACCCATTCCTACCGTAGGTGCTAGGAGTAGCCGTCTACTGACAGCTGTTTTCTACTTCTAGTGATACACTTAGCTCCAGCTAATAACACCCTCGAGATCCTCATTGATAACAAAGTGACTGGGACCTGTATCGATACAGAAGACGAATTTAAAAATGACGTCGTTTACTTAACAACAGGCAAAAAGCGAGCAGCCGTCGGTAAGTCGAAAAGAGTAAAGGGACACGACTACCCCCTCACTACGAATAATACAATGACATGTAGTTGTCTCATCGCATATATTAGCGTGTAATTGGCAAATGCGAGGTTTGATGCATGTTCAGTTTGCTCTTAAAGGA